AACTGATGTGCTAATGTGCTGTGCTTCCATTCCTCAGAGGATCTGCTTCCGATTAATTGGCCATGAAGAAATGAAAAGCGCGGTTGGCTAGACTTCGTACAGGACATGGCTATAGAGCCATGTGTACAATAGCGGGATCTCTTGGCTCATCAGCTCTGCCCATATTCGAGTGAGCTTCTCAAAAATAATAACACGGAAGGCCCCTAAAGTCGTGTGATCGTGGAGCGAAATGGCTAACTTTGAAGCCTGCGGAGGAACGAGAAGGACGGCCGTTGCATGTCAAGCTTCATTGACCTAAAAGAATATGCTTCTGACCTCCTACAGACAATTTTAAGGAGGAATTCACGATAAGAACGAAGGTCAAAGAAGGGGAAAATTGGGGACAGGCGGACCTCCTGAGGGTGCTGACCGACGCGCAATTGGCAGCGAAAGATTTGACCTCGGCGATCTAGCATGGCTCACTCTTGGCGCGGTTGGCGGGGTACGCCCACCGACTATCTAATCACTCGCCGCAGTGATTAGATATAGCAGAGAGAGCGTAGTGTTGAAGAGGGCACAGCGATGAGAGTCGCATCAATGCGCAAATCAACGGGCAAGGAAGGGGTCCCATTTCTCGGGTTTCGGGCCGTTTCAATGGTTTCTTCTTCATCCCTGCTCCACTGACCACCTCATCTTCTTTTCATCGTGAAATCCTTGAAACCTGCTTCCAAGTTACCCCGTGTGCCCTGTCTGTGTTTTCGCACTAACCTCCTTCTTTTCAGGTGCTCTTATTGCTGTGTGAAGTGATCGATTGGTCACTTGCTGCTTTTTCACCGGTGTATTTCCACTCGTCATCATTGCTTTCTAGAATTCTGCCATTCATCGTTGGAGGAATTTTTTGCGCTATCATCGTGGCAGCGCTGGTTGTCATTGGTAGGTCGTAATACTGCATATGCTTTTCTTTATTTAGTCTTTCGGGAATCTCTAGCACAGGAACTTTTGGTTATGAGCCTGGTTGACTCAATTCCTGTACACGGTAGCCTCCACGGAATTCCTAGCAGTGAGAAATTCCTCACGAACTTTTTTCAGACTGTGGGTTACCCTGCTAAAGAACACGTTCTTTTCTTGGACAGGGTGAGCCATTTCGAAGATCTTTTGACGGAGGAGGGTATCGTATTTGGCCCTCTTGCAAATCGTGTTGATTAAAATGGCTGTAGATTTTCAGAAAGGAGGTACATAGAACTATGATATGATCATGGCGAGTGTAGTGCTTTTAAGAGAAGATTTGTTACATTTTTCGGCTTTTCCGGAATTCCGGAAATTTACGAAGGCTTCAAACTTTCGTTGTTTTGATTGTACTGTTATGCCTTAATCCGCCTGCCCCCTCCCCCCCCGCTGCTCCCTCCTCTTCCCCTCTGAAGAACATTTTGCGCTTTGCGGCACTGAGGTTTGACTCGGGATGGTTGAATAGGTGCGTCAATTAGAACGGGATGGACCTGTAGAAATCTAATTGATGGTGGTCTTGGGGTTAGTAATCACACTTTGAACTTGTCTTCTGAAGAACCACGTGAAGCAAACCATCAAGTGGTTCTTCAAAAGTCAAACTTCTGTCTCTCTTTTCCGCGCTCCAGCAGAGTCAACCCTGCGTTGCGCAGTTCGCAACGGCACGTTGAGAGATCCTCAACGCACGCTGTATGGGCGGAGACGCAGACGGCTCGAGCATGCGAGTGTGAATGTTCGCGCGAGAGAACGTGTCTAATCGGGCGAAACTGCGCAACGTGGCCGTTGAGAAACTGCGCAACGCAGGGTTGACTCTGGCTCCATGTAGAGGGCGTACAGCTCCGATTCTTTCCTCACAAGGAATGCCTAATTGGTCAGTCTGGCCATTTGAAATGAAATGTTTACTTATTATGTGCCACGCGCTGAGTTCAAATCTACCTCCGTTATCTGTGGAACGATTTCCACAAACTACGAAGCAAAAGCGCAGTGGTAGTGACTTGCTCACAGGGAAGAGGTTGTAGGATCGACTCCAATGCGTGCCACCACTTTGTTTCTTTTCAGAAGTGCAGCCAGAGAGGCATGTTTACATCTCTGAGTGAGTAAAAGTCTGGCGTGTTGAAATCGATCCCATGACCTGTTGCCTGTGAGTCAAGGTCACTACCACTGTGCTTTCCTGCTTCATAACTTTTTTTTTCCAGGAAATCCGTTCCACAGATAACGGAAGTAGATTTGAACTCAGCGTGTCGAAGCACGTTTATATTTAAGTATTTAGTTCATTTCAAGTAGCCGGACTGAAAAATTGTCTTTCCCTGTTAGGTAGCGGCTGCCTGTGGCTTATCCTGTTCTTGAGCTCAGATTGTGCTTCTCTTTTTCTTCATACAGCTGGAGTCTTCAGACATGACCACCGAGACGTCATCATGTGTGTCATCACCGACGGACACTGCGGTGATCTCGGCGTATGACATCTCGCTCGTATTCGCCACCGTATGTCTCGCGGCACTTGGAAACCTGCTAGCTAGAAAACTGAACAGTTCACTATACAAACCCGTCCTGGTGAGATTTCAGTAGCAGTTTTTCTGACAATGAGCACATAGCACAGCGAGTGTTTTCAGTTCCACTTCGTGTCAACACTGCTTCTTCTCGAGATTCCTCTGGTGGTAGTGATCTCACTGAAGTATGCTGGTCAGAGTACTGCAGCCATTAGGGCAGCAGACGCAACTAATCTGCTCGTCGCCATTCATTGCAGCCTTCATTCGGTGTATTTCATCTACAACCACGAAGATTATAGGGCAAGTTTTTCTCATGAAATCAATCATTGTAAGCATTAAGTTTTCGTAGTGGTGATGATCAGTGGGCCTTGAGTGCTGGTCTATAGCTTTACCAAATATGCCAAGCCCGAATTCGTTCACCAGAATGCTTATTAGCGAAGGTTGTGATAGCAGCAGTAAGGCAGTAATTGAGATGGCTGGTGGGCATTGCGGTTTTGCTGACGTTGCTGTACGTATTAGTGGACTATATCCTTCAACTCGCCATGTAGTGGGATGAGACAGGCTTCTAGCACTCCTTTAGACTCTATCTTCCCCTTCCTCCTCTCCCAAACAGCCGTCCGAGTTGCCAAAGAAGGAACCATAAGCAAAAATTAGAAGCGTAACTCTCTGAGGGTTATTGTGGAACCAAATTTGGACTTTTCTAAACTGTGCAATCCCGAACAACATGGTTTCTTTGGTGAAACTATTCACGTGCATTAATGTGAAATGAAGTTTCACCTTCAAAATTTTCTTAAGGTAAAGATTGAATATTTCACCCTCAATTTCTACAGAACTAACTCACATTCTACTATATGCTACACTTTCAGCAAGGGATATACGCCACGTTTACAAAGTTTCGAATACTCTCTTCTTTGTGATACGCCGATCTACACAGAAAAATCAAACTTTATCTGTAAATATATTCCGAGTCAGATGCTGGTACATCTTTCACGTGTGCTTTTATGAAGCTGTCATCTTCTTTCATAGCGCAGAGGGTCTTAAAAACTGTGATGTTGTTTAATGTGTTCCTAACTAAATGCTCTTGTGAATAATCGTCTTGATCTGTGATCTGTTTATTCATTTGTATAAAGAGATATATTGATTTAATCTCATTTTTTCAAAACTACTGCAAACACAACAAATTGGTAAAAAAGGAAAATAGCTAGCAACAGTAACAAATGTGATGATTGAAAACATAACAAAGAGTGAGTAACAACTACTGGCATAAGAACAATCATGTATCTTCGAATCACGAACACGGTCACAACTCGGATAAAAGTCTAGTGGACTGACGTACTCATTTTGGTTTCCTTGCGTTCCCGCGTTTCTTCTTGTTATCGGCCTTCTTATTCTTGAACCACTGTTGTCGATGTATTTGACTTTTTTGTCGAATGGGCTTATGTCCTTTTTTCTCCTTCTTTTCCCTGGAACGCCACTGCTAACTTATAATTTTGAGATGAACATTAAAGCATGGTGTTGGGAATAGTTCAAGAATTTCATGTATTTCCAAGAATTCTTCTCCCCTTAGACTACGAGGAAGAAATTTCCAATAACAAGCTTCTAAAAACGCTTCCTAGCATCTCAAGAACATTAAATTATTGAAATCTAGTGATGCTAAATCAGCATTATTGGTAGATAGAAGAATAAGAGCTCCCTCAATTGTCGTTTACGCCATTTGACACATTGACACAGCGGAAAACACATATCCCACGCATTGCAGGTCATGTCGGACCGTGCGGTATATACAGGGGTGGCCAAAAAAAGACACTTCACTCCATTTCAGACAGCATTAATCACACTTTGCTAACTCAAATCGACTGCTCCCAACTTAGTATTAAAGAGCACATCCCAATCTATCAATAAATGTTAAAATGTGCCAAAATCATCACAAGAATTTTCCATGGGAACCTTGTGGACGGTTAGAGATCATATTTTGAAGACGGTGAGGACAGTGAAGGAGGGCCTGCTTCTACTTATGGGAGGACATCTAAGGGAATATTTTGCCGTAAAACTTCATCAACATCGGCACCCTGTGCGATGAAAAGTTTGATGATGTGCGCCATGAGGCAAAGTGTCTCTTTTTTTCGCCACTCCTGTACGTATCCCGCACCCACTGCATCATATTTTCGCGCATACTCGACTTTTTCCATTATTTTTTTCATTTTCATTTTGTAGGTCAGATATTAATGTATAATAACTATAAACATTGTGGTCCACGAAACAATAAGAAATGTCTCAATTTAGCCAAGGTTTTTAAACCTTGCAATTTTCAAATCAGTTCAAACTCGCACAAATTCTGAAGAAAGGAGTAAAATGGTGAATGACAAGCCAACGTTCGGTCAAAACGTTGTGAACGATAAATTTGCCAAATTGAAAGAAGTTTCAATATTATTGTAGAAGGAACGTATATGTATGTGTGCATTGTGTATTTGCTATGGATAACTATTCCATCCATTTTATATTCCTGAATAGACATTTACTCAATCAAAACTTCTGTTAAGGGAGCTCCGTTGTGTCTGCTTTTACCATGTGGACCAACTTACTTAGCCACCGTTCTCACAAGTTTTTATACATTCAAAGGGATATGTATATTGCGCCAAATGCGGCTGCAAAATCGCCTCGGTCCCACACGGCCAAAAACACCTCGCATTGTCGTCAAAGATTTAAAAATGAGCAAGAAACTCACTGTTTCGAAGGTCCCGCAACGGCAGCAGCCTTCTCCTCAATAATTTTTGCCTTTTTATTCTTGAGTTTCTCCCAAATTTCCAAGGCGTGTTGCTTCTCACCACCTGCCTCATTCGGTAGGAACTAAATCAAATCACTTGCTTGTATGCGAGGGGAACATCATTTTCATGTGCGCAAAAACAAATAATAAAATGTGAGAGACAACTAGTAGTGCAATTTCATCGCAAAAGTCAAGACACTAATGTTTAAAAGAAATGAGTGCAATAATTTATGCCCCTGACCCACCTTTCGCTTCTTGCCAGTTTTGATATTCTCCTTCTCTCCCTTGGCAAGGCGCTGGAATTTTCCAGCAGATGCGGTAGCCGTCTTGGCGCGATCAACAGCGAACCGGAGCTAAAATTCTCACAGTAGCATGCTTTTATAGATGGCACATTCGGCTTTCGTGTACAAGGAAGAAAGTCCCCTATTCACATGAATTACCTGCTCCTTAGATTTCTCTTCCGGTGCAACACCAATACCTATACTAGCATCGGTGGATGGTCCTTTCCTCATTTTCGAGCCCATTTGACGAGCGAGATTTTTCAGGCGCTGGGTCTCATTCTTAGCAACACGCTCCTTCTTCTTCTCAACTCGTTCAGCAAAGTAGTCTTTATTTGGAATCTGCAAATAAACATACGATGCAAGGCACACTCTAAGATATAGTCAGACAGCCACGCTATTCCCTCTCGTCATTCAGTGCACACATCTTTAATTCTAATAATTTAAGAGCGAAATGAACACCTACCAGCATTATCAGGAATTTCTATAGCCAATCTTTAGTGTTGTCATTGCCTCTTCTGTACCCATAGGTTGGCTTCCATTCCTTCGTTGCTTCATCGAATACCTGCAACACCCATCCCAATCGAACATTTACTTTCGCTGAAAATCCTATGGGGTCATCGAAGGGATCAAATTCAGAATGAATTCGACATCCACTTTTGTCGGTGACGCCGAATTGGTGTTGATTTTGAGTATGGCGTTATTTGAGGCCCTGATTACAAATATGACATTCGCTTCTGGCATTCGCGCTGTTTAAAGCATATTTTCTGCTCTCCTGAGCTCTCTCACTTGCAGACTAACAATAAGAGCTTACGAGAGGGGTGGGAGTGTGTTCAAACTCCGAAGGGGTTAAACCATGCAGCGTGCGGCAAAATTTAATGCCTGTGTGATATCACATGGTGAGTGGCTTTTCACTTTGGAGTCCTCCACTCTCCATAGGCTTAGTCCTAAGGGAGATCTAATTAGTAAGAGGGCGCAGACGAGCAGGAAATAGGTGCTGAATAGCGCAACAACAAAACGAATGTCATATTCGTAATCAGGGCCTCAAATAACCCCTATACAGAAGTTTACAGCGAATTTGGTGAAATCAGTCGTGGCGCCACCTGGCGCCAAATGGCGCCAATTTGGCGCCAGCCCCAAAATGGATGTCATATTAGTGATAACAACACTCGACAACCCCCATAAGAGGTTTTTTGACTCATATCACCTCTGCTGGGGTTGTAATAGTATATTAGTGCCAACGAGTTTTCAAAGTGCGTCTATCCAGATTATTAATACCTTCTTGTTTTTCTTCTTCTTTTTTAAACCTTTTTCTGCAGCATACTTCTCCCACTTCGTCGGTTCCTTCTTCTCGGGTATCTGCATTGAGGAACATTAACCTTCGTAACCGTTGAAACGTGTGAAATGACTCACCTTCTTCTCTCTTGGTAAAATGAAAGAAGTTTTCGGAAGAACTGCCATTACTGCTTCCTCAACATTCTTTCTGTTAAGCTCCCATATCTTGTTGAATAAGAACTGAGCATTGTTTCTTGCTCGAGTTAATAGCTTTTCACTGAAAAATAGAGATTATGGCAGCTCGGAGGAAACAAACCAAAACAGCACAAACAGACGCAACACAATTCCTACCTTGCATCGCCTTCGATGTTGTCTCGGTCCACAATAATCAAATGTCCGAGATCAACGAATGGATCCACAAGTTTTTGCACGGATGTTGGCTTGATATCAAAATGTGGGAGATCCATCAGCGCTAAAAGTAACTATGAGACGAACACATGTAAAATACATCACTTCATACCCATACAGCCAAATAGCCGGGTTTTCGTAATTCTTGAACTACCACCAGAGAAAAAAAGGAACCATGATCAAAATGTAACTGGAAGAGAATGAGAGCCATCGAACTTGGCATAAGAGATCACGTATGCTAGATAGTGTCGTCCGTAATTCATCCCGTATATAGTATTAAACGGTATTCAAAAAGGGGTTGCGTGCCTCTGCAAGCTGTTTTGTGTCAGGTTTATGGGCTTCTGGAACTCGTCAAGAATATAAAACTGATTTTTGAGAAAGTTCCCTCTGGATGAATACTGCTGATAACAAGGAAGAACAGTGTCAGAACAGCCTCAATAAGATTTATTCCGAGTTGCTTCACCTCATATTTGTTCGTAAGTCATTCGTTTTGCAATTTAGAGCTTGTAATGTTATGGGTCAAGAGGAATCATTAATTTAGCCATTCTTTTGAGGTTTGAAAAAGGGAGTGGGTCTGAGCTGACCGTTCGTCTGAGACAAGTTGAATCGGGCTTGGAACAGTTACGAGAAGCAGTACTTTTGATACCAAGACATTCAGAATAACGAACAACGTCAAACGTGATAAGATCGCTTCTTTGTACAGGTGACCAATGTTTCTCTGTTTTTCTTTTTTACTTTCGTGTTATTTTTTATTGTTCAGACAAATAAAGCTAAAGGATGAGCTCATCCAATCCTTCGTCCACTACGATATTGTCGACGGATCCGAAAGTGGGTGCAACGGTTCCCCTGTTTATCAATACTCCTTTCTCCATACTCCTTTTTCTCTTTCCTGTTTAAACCCCAAGTAAGCCGTTCAGGAGTCGACGTCAAGCGCGACTGAAGGCTCACCTAATGACCAGCGTCTTATATGTGGCATCTGCAGCAGTGTAATTTTGCTAGCAGGAGTTGGCCGTTGGACTAATAGGGAAGAAATACTGCCATTATGTCGACAGCAAAAAGACGTAGACACCCAGAAGGTGAGTTATGACACATTTCCTATTCATGCCGTAAAACTAGACTCGTTTAAGTTTTTTTTTTTTTTTTTTTTTTTTTTTTTTTTTTTTTTTTTTTTTTTTTTTTTTTTTTTTTTTTTTTTTTTTTTTTTTTTTTTATTTGTTGCTTGTCTCGTTCTGTTTAAACAACGGCCAGTTTGCTACTTCTTCCTTCGATAGGGGCTTGCCTTATGATGATCTCTGAGATGATTGATCTGAGCTGATTGATCGTTCATCTCTCATTGTTTTGGTTCGTGTTTGCGTCTCTATTTTAGGGGGATTATTTCCAAGATATGTGATATTTTTGAGGGCTTTCAATATTGTCATAGTTTTATCGCGAACTTTGCCTTACCTAGTTTTTGAATCCAACGTGTACAAGTTTAGGAAGCTGTCTCTGGATTCTGGATGGTACGTGACATGTACGACTTCGAGAATGTTGGCTTCACGAATTCTGTTGATGGTATGAAGTACTTGACTTGTGCCGACTGTGAATATGGTCCCATTGGGTTTTTGGAACCTGAAGCCAAGCTACACTATGTTAGTTCTGCTAGGGTCTCTTACGGTTAAGAAGTTTGTCCAGGTTGGGGTTGTATGATAATTGTTTATTCTATTCCATTCCGCTTTTTTACACTGTTTAATGTCCTTCTTTTCTAGGGCCCCATTTTATTGTTAGGTTCTGGTTTTTCCTCTGCGGAGCATTTCTAGTTGCAGCTCTCATCTGTTTTCTTTTTGTGTTATTATCTTATGATAATGTCCGAAATCTTTCGTATATTGTTGACTGATCATCATAAAGTAACTTCTACTTTGAAATATCGATCTTACATCCGCGATCGCAGTAATAAATATATCCTGCACGTGTTGAGTTCACGTCTCCAGGCGTTTTTGCCCAAAATTCTATCTGGTAGACATTTTGTAACAAGCCAAATATTCACGGACACTCTTTTTAGCAGGTTACCTTAAACCTTCGCTAGGAATGGCCGAGAAAAAAGAAGTACCGCAGGTTTGGCTTTGAGTTTTGTTTTTCCAGTTACTTCATTGTCTTCCTCTTACGTATTATTTTGGCTATTTTATCATCTGTTTCATTATAAATGAAGTTTGCAGATGCTTTCTAGCACGGTGGAGGAACCTCTTGATCTGATTAAACTCAGTCTTGACGAGAGAGTCTATGTGAAGATGCGTAACGATAGAGAGGTTAGTTAGGTCCTGTCATGGGCTTCTCATCTTGCTTTTATAGGTATCAAGTACTTTTTCAACTTCATCAATCTTAATGCGGATGCAGTTTTATTTTTGAAACGTTGGCGATCAAGCGTTTTCTCGGGTCTCATCCAGTAAGGATTGGGGGCATGAGATGCGGAAGTTCTTGCCGGCTACAGAAATTCCAATTTTTGCAAGGGGAGGGAACTCCCGGGGTGCGTCGACCATTTCGCTTTTATTTCGCACCCATTCCGGAGCTTTATTCCCTTAAAATAAGTGGATTACCACATGCCCCCTTACTAGGTGAAACCTTTTTTCTCGTGTTTACCACATAGTTCCACGCGTTTTTTCCTAATTTACGAAGAAAATATCCTTATTCTATATCAGTGATTATGCCAGAAGGGTGGTAACTTGATGCAGAAATTGTAGAGGGCTCGCTCGCATCATTCGTTGCTGATGGCTTTCAAGCGAAGAAAGAATATCCTTGTTGGGCTAAGTATTTTGAACTCAAGAAAGTCCACAATCTTCGAGTGTCTCAAAACTTTTCAAGCGCCACTTCATGTTTCGTTTTCTACATATTATATTGAAATTGTTGTGACAACACAACCAGCGAAACATGTGGAGCAAATAATTTTTTTCCTTACAAACATGAGTGATTAGAAAGAATGGAAAATCTGCGCATTCAAAATTTTTAAGGGGTTGGCCGGCATCGGGTGACGTAGCCCTGCGCTGCAGAAAAATGTCGCGTTCGAGCGACGAGATCCACCATCGCTAATGTGTTGACGTTTCTGTAACTGAATTACAAGCCAGTATTATTTAAGTTCTTCAGAAATTGTTCAGATTCGCGGTCGACTTCATGCCTACGATCAACACCTCAACATGATTTTATCGAACGTGAGGTTTTTAGAGTGATTTTTACCATAAGACTCAACGTATGTTGTCTTCGTTGATGCAATGAAGGTTCTGCTTAGGTTGAAGAGACGGTTACAACCTCAGAAGTGGATGAAGAATCGTTTGAAGAGATATATCGACAAACAAAAAGAACCATTCCAATGTTGTACGTCCGCGGTGACTCTGTTATTCTTGTTTCGCCACCTATTCGTGCGTCTTAACCTCATCGTTTCTCAATGATATATTCTTTCTGCAGGGTTGTGGTTCACTATGACAGAAGTGACTTTTTCGCGTTTCGCAGCGCGAAACATTTTCGCTGCGGGAACCTCAGGTCCACCGCTGATCATCAGTGGACCTGAGGTTCCCGCAGCGAAAATGTTTCGCGCTGCGAAACGCGAAAATTCGCCTGCAGTCATAGTGAACCACACCCTTCTGCAGCGCCCGGATTGTATTTATGCGGAGAAGTGTTGCTTCGTCGTTCACCTAATAAACAATGATCATGTAGGTGATAATCGTGGTATCGTTTACTCGCTTCTGGTAAGAATATCACCGCTACGATGGTCACGTATTATTGAGAATACAGAGCTGAACAAGAGCACCAAAACAATAGCGTGTCAGGAGCATGGGTTATTACACTTGGCAGAAACCTCAAAGGGCAGTCGAAAGTTAACAGGTAGGGTATGGTACAGGTAACAAAACAATTCGTTTAGATACAGGGTCTTCCACCCAAATTCGTAAACGTTGCAGCCAATTTCGTAACGTTTCAGCCCATTTCGTAAACGTTGCAATCAATTTCGTCATTCTAACCCCTAATTCGTCATTCTTGCAAGCAATTTCGTAAACCTTGCAATCAATTTCGGCAAAAATAAAAATTTCGCTGAAACTTATCCTACAGGGGTTATCGAGGGTCCTGATCACGAATGTGACATCCATTTTTGGCGCTGGCGCCAAATTGGCGCCATTTGGCGCCAGGTTTCGCCACGACTTTCCCAGCAAATTCGCTGTAAACTTGTGTATAGGGGTTATTTCGAGGCCTGATTACGATTATGACACTGGCATAAGCCTTGTTCAACGCATATTCCCGATCTAACCGGGTGAGAGGGCGCAAAAGAGTGGGAAGAGAGGCCAAATGGCGCAGGGTTGAAATGAATGTCCACGGTCGGCCATTCATATGGTATGTCCCATCCGGTTAAGATGATCACCCGCCATTTGATCGTTCACCAAGGCGGTGCCAGGCTGGATGATCTTGATCTTTCTCACATACCTCCCTCGCCATATAGGCTGCTCCTGGCCTCTGTAATGGCTTCTCTTGGAGGAATGCATCAACTGTACCTCAATGTCTTCTGGAGTAGAGACGACAACTACTTTCGGAGCACGACTGTCGATTAGTCATAGAAGGTTGGCCGATGCTGCGATAATTTGTTCGTTTAATACGATGCGTTTCTTAGTACACTGTGACGCTTTCTTTGTTGCATACAGTAGCGATCAAAAGTTTGGAAACTTTCTTATATTCCTTTCCATCTAGCATAGCCAATAGACAATGAAATTGTCCCGAATTCACAGTACTATACAGAATCAAGTGTAGATTACGATGAGCTAACATAATTTTTCAAAAACGAAATCGCATTTGAAAAATACGAATTTTTATAAGAAATGGCGCGTCAAAAGTTTGGAAACTTCTAAATTCCAAAGCGAATTCGGCAAAATAGCTCTCGAATCCTCATGATAAATTAGTAGTTGGATGAGTAGCTACAAAGTCCTATGCTCATCGTATTTAGTCCAGTTGATTAGATAATAATTCTAGGATTTTTAAGTCGAACCCTACACACTGTGAACTAAATCACATTGTTTGGTGGGATTCTTAACTGGAATGTGGGTTGAGCGACATGCCAGTTCTTCCGTGGGATGTAGAACTCAATTAGACTTCAGATCTTGACTTGGTCGCTTCATAACAGCTTCTTTTTCTGGGTTTAGGAAGGCGGCAGTGAGGAGGTAGGCCTGCATTGGGTCATTTCCGCGATAGAAAACCCATCTTTTCCGGCTAGTTCTGACTATCGAAGGTAAGCATTGTATTCTACAGACTATACTTGTACTTAGCCCAACCCATTTCGCTGGATACCTAGAACTGGGAATCGCCGAATGGTCGGACACATCTTCATCCATGACAATACTTCCACTATTTCTGACTGTTGGAATCTGGTACTCAAAATGAGGTTTTACTTGGTAGAACACTTCATAGAGGTTACAACATCATTCTTAGACCGCCGTCACACTCGATCGCGATCGCTCCATCGCTTATCCGTCGCCGAGTGTGACGGCGGTCTTAGGAGGGCTCCACTTGTCGCTGAGCACCTCTCGCCTCCGGTCCATATTAGCCACTTAATGTGCGGAAGCTAGTTGGGCCATCCTGCTCTTGAAGCCCAACAATGGCTTCTTGTTGGGACATCATCCGTAATATTCACCAGGTCGCGGCCGATGTTGTGCTGCACTTGGACTTTCATATGATTAGAAAAAAATTTGAAAAGTCGTTTCTTGGTTGGAGATTTCGGAAGGACGGGACGTGCCAACCACACTTTGAGGTCTTTGAGAAGAGCCATTTTTCTTGTGTTTCTTCCTGTTGTTGTGTTGAGGATGTTTTTCTTAAGGGTCATCTCTTTATGCTTGCTCGACTCCAATAACGCTAGAAACATTCGATAATATTGCTTCCGTAGAGACTGAACTACTAAGAAACAATTTCAATTTCGTATTCCGGATTGTAGGGTTTAAAAAAGGACCTCCCATGGAAAAACTGCTTCCTTTGCATATGAATTCATTTTGAAATTACACATTACTCAATGGTTGAACTAAAATTAACAGAAACAAGTAAACATTGAAGAGTAGGAATTATGATGAGGGAACCAAAAATTTGGACGCGCCATTACTTGAAAAATCTTATTTCTCAAATATGATTATAGATTTTTGGAAATTATTCTTCCCATCGTATTCTGACTTGATTTTGTATGTAATATCTAAATTTGAGGACAATTTCGTTATGTGTCGGCCGCGCTAGATCAAAAATAAAAAAAAATTTCCAAACTTTTGGCCGTACTGTAGATGGCTCCCCAACATCCTTCGCGTTTCCATGTAGAGCGTGAATTGTTGATCCCACTTTCCTTCCTTATCTGTATTGTGTAATATGGAGTCAACCTTACGTGAGCAATATAAAAGTTGCGTTTAGCCTCGTGAAGCTTTTCCTTTTCACTCAGGGCCATGTGTTGATGAATCCTCGACAGGTCGACGGCGAAAGAGGGGGGGGGGTCGAATCGGGCTCGCTTGTAGGAGGGGTCGTACCGAATTGATGGATCAGGATCGTCACTGTCGAAGGATAAAAACAAGGAGTGATGGAGCTCTGGAAGCTTGGTCGAGAGGATTTCCAATCAGAATGTTATTCTGCCCACCTAAAATTTTCTTGGTTTAAAGAGACTGTGTAGAAATGATGAGCTACCTCGAGGGTTTTTTACGACAAGGTTGAAGAATTCGAAATTCGCACGTTTCCCGACGGATATTTCATCTTTCAAATGAGTCCACCAATATGAAGGGATGTGAAGCACACGGCGCGTCCCAGAGTGGGCCAGCTAGTTGCGCGCGCTTCAACTACGGAGGAAGGAAAAATCCTGATTCAGGAAAAATCGAGAGAATCCTGGAAGAGGCCGTGTAAACTTACAGGGGCAAATTCACAACTCAAGAAGGAATGTATTTTTCAGCGTTCATTTTATAAACATATAATCGTAAAGATGGAAATTGCTGAACGCTTTTACGCTTATTGGACAGGAGAAAGCTTACTGATCCCGAATTTGCTTTCATTTTTGTGCAGAACCGCCCCTGGGAAGGAGCTATAGCCGTTGAAGAGTGCCAATGCAGTGAAGGAAGAACCTTTAGGCGGTACTCGGGCAAAAATCCTCAACGGAGTCATTTTCGAAATTCTGAACGAATCAAGCCGTCTCAGAAGCTGTTAAATAGAGCAAATCTACCAAATTTGAGCATACAATGCTCTATAAAGTTTCAAGATTTAAACACTTTGAAGAGAATTGAAAGTTTTTCTGTGCCAAACAGGTTTTTTATAGTGAAGCGTTTATTGTGCCGACGTTTCGACTAGCTCGTCGTCTTCAAGGCCTGAAGGAAGCATTTCGAAAATTCTCAAATGAAACTTATCCTACTTAACGCTCACTCACTCCTAACTAGTAGCAACTCGAGCAAAAGGTGCAATCCGAGTCGAATCCAACATTGGTCACTCACCTTGGCTTCACCACCACCCTTAGCCTCTCCGCGCCAGAATATAGTAGGAAATGAGACTGACCGATCACTGCACTCCCACCATGGTGCGTACGTGCAGGTTGTCACGTTCATTTAAATCAGAGCTCACATAGTGGAATGTATGGCAAGAAATCATCGGTTATGGAGATGCATTCATTCCTGTTATTCATATATGGATTACGAAGTTTTATCCAGAAAGCTTCGAGAGTTTTCCTAGCACCGATGTCATTTTCGTAGGCCAATATCGTACATTTGACGTCGAAATCGGAGCCATCATGACTTTCCCTTTTGTGTTTACCGAGCGGTGTAGCCAAGTTTTCTCTCCGTTTGCCGGCAAGATGTTCTTTCACACGCACGCCTAATTGCCTTCCAGTTTCTCCAATATATAAGGCACTACAAGTTAGGCACTGAAGCTGATAAACCACAGATCTCTGTGCACAGTCTCCGACTTTCCCATATGGGCAGATTACGCAATTTTCTACGACGCAGGTTCGGTCGTAGAGGCGATTTCTGACTAGCTGGTGTTTGATGTTCTCTCTTGGTGTATTAACCAAAAAGACTACATTAGTCAGATCGGCTCTCCTGATGCATTGCTGTATAACTGCACTAAAATGATCTGATATAAATGGTAACTGAAGATACAGTCTGTCTTCAGCTCTGCGTGGGAGAAGTCTTGGTCTGCTTCGTCGTTCACGTTGCCGCGCTGTGTATCCGTTAAGATTAGCTATTTGATGTGCTAGTCCTCTGGATAGTTCCCGCTCCTCATTGCCGGTGCATACCTCCATAGCAGTTTAGCATGTTTAGCGTGACCTGCACTTTAACGCTCTGGGTGTGCCGACATTGCGTGAATGTCGATTGAGCTAGTCAGAAATCGCCTCTACGATCGAACCTGCGTCGTAGAAAATTGCGTAATCTGCCCATATGG